TACCCCCACCCCGCACCGTGATGAGGTTGTGCTCTGGGAGGCTGCAGGCCTCTATGTGGTCCTGGAGCAGCTGCTGCGAGAAGTTCTGGTGCATCTGGGCGGCCTCGTGGGCATCCATGGCATTCCCACAAGCTTTGTTCAGGTCTGAGGAGACAAATGTGGGGCCCACCTTGCTGGCTGCCCACAGCCTCCCTTGGGGTGCAGGTGAGGCCCAAAGGGCTCTGGGTGCCCGGCATTGAGCCCCACCTTGGGACGGCAAGGCCGTGGGCCCGACGCCCTCGAGGGCAGCACGGCTGGCCAGGCAGCTGAGGCCCAACACTGGGCTCCTTGCCAGCCCTCCTGGGAGGCCCCAGCCAGCCCCCGGCGCACAGGAGCTTGCCAGGAAGTGGGCCTGACAACCCTCCCAGACGGCCACGCCTGCCCTGCCTGCTCCCGTCCCAGGGGAGCCTTAGGGCCTCAGTTTTCCCATCTGTGAGTAGGGGGGCTACAACAACACTGACACCCGCTGGGCATGTGTGTGTCCCCAGAGGGATGCCGCCATCTGCAATCAGGGAAGAAACCCGAGGTTGTGCATCAGGGCTCCCTGTCCCAGCTACCCAGGTGCCGAGGCCTCATGGGCTTTGGAGAGACTGATGAGGACCCTGCTGAGAGGACCACACGCACGGGCCCAGCACCCACTGTCTCACGTGGGGTCTCCTGGAGGAGCAGCCCCCACCGGCTACCAGGAACAGAGGCTACAAAGGTCCAGTTTGAGCTGAGGCTGAGCAGGACTTGCTCAGAAGCCCTGATTCCCGGAGAGGCTCAGGCCAAGGCAGAGGAGGAAGGGTGGCCGTTGCACTCACCTCTTAGCAGAGCCGATGACCACAGCTGCACCGACATGTCTGGGATCTTGCTGGCCAGCTGCATGGCAGGCACCACCATGTTGTTACTCTCCTGTCAACCAAAAGCAGCCAAGGAGCAACTGAGGGGCTAGCAGCAGGAACAGGTTGGGCCCCATCTGCCAAACCTAGCCTGGGTTGTGCCCTCCTTCCGTGGACTGGCAAAACTCCTATCCCTACCTCAGAGCCCATCTCAAACGACCGTGTGAAGAAGCACTACTCCTTGTCCACCTTGAGAAAAACAAATCACCCTCACCTCTGGTTCTGCACATACCTCCTCATAGGGGCACAGCCAATGGGCCTTTGTCTTTCTAAACAGAGAAAAAGGCCCTGACGGCAGTCAGCTCTGGACCCCTAATTCTAGCCAACTAGAAATGTGGATTCATTCAGGGGTCCCAGGGCCAGCAGCCTGCCCTAGAAGGAGCTATGAGGGCCGAATGGATAAAGGAGGAAAGGAGGGAAGCCTGTCTTCTACCTTGAGTTGCCCTTGGGGAAGACAATTGAGGCTCTAGGGCACTGGTCCTATAATCCTGACTCTCCACCACGTGACTGTGTCCTCAGGATGTGGCAAGAGGAGCTCAGTGAGAGCCATCAGGGAGTCATCAGGGACCATAAGCCCTGTCTCTGTCCCCATGGCGAGGGCTGGGAGTCAGCCCTTGGAGGGCTTGGAACCCCACCAGCCCGGAAGTTGGGTTCAGCATAAGGCCGGGAGCAACCCTGCATGGTGGCTCCAGTAGCCGGGGAGCGCTTGTCATGGAGCTGAGAAAAATCCTGGAACCAGCTCCTGAGACTCGGCTTCAACCTCTCCGTGGCCATGTGGGGAATATTTTTGGGATGCACAGAACCCAACAACTCTACGTTGCCCATGGCTGTGCCTGCCAGATGAGCTCTAGGTGGGCCTCAGAGCATTTTTTTTTTTTTGAGCTGGAGTCTCACTCTTTCGCCCAGACTGGCGTGCAGTGGCTGCTCCCGGCCATAGCAGCCTTGACCTGCTGGGCTCCGGCGATCCTTCTGCCTCAGCCTTCCGAGTAGCTGAAACTACAGGCACGCGCTACCACGCCCGGCTAATTTTTTGATTTATTGTAGAGATGAGGTCTCACCAAGTTGCCCAGGCAGGTCTCGAACCCGTGGGCTCAGGCAATCCACTCACCTCAGCCTCCCAAAGGTGCGGGATTACAGGCTGAGCCACCGAGCCTGGTTGGCCTCAGAGCATTTTGAAAGATCACTAAGTCCTTCTGAATCCTTGGAACACATGGTAGAATGAGAAGGACAGTGCTGTGGCTGGAGGCCTGCATAGGCTCTGTGGGACCCTGAGAGCCTGTCTGGGAGCCCAGGGGAGGGAGTGTCCTCTGTCAGTTTTCCCAGGTGGCACCCCCACTGGCCTGGGGTGCCCCTCAGAATCTAGTTCTGAAGGTCTGGGTGGTCCTGAGAGGTGGCCCATGCCCAGGGATGCTCTGGTCCAGCAGGCCCAGGGCAGTATGTCCAGGGTCTGCCCGGGCCCCACCCTCAATAAGCCCATCTGCTGGTCAGCCTTCTGCTTGGGCACTTGTGCTCCAGCCACGTGGAGCTGGTTGTTGTGCCAGCCCTGCTTGGCCAACGTCGGGCAACTTTACCACTGCGGCCCCCAGCACTGCCGCCTCCAGGACACCCCAGCCACACAGGGCTGGCTTGGTTATGTCTACCCATGTCTTCCTCAGACCAGGAGTCGCTTGAGGTCAGGACCTGGGTCTGGGAGCTGAGGAGTACCCTGTCACCCCACATGGGCCTGGGCACAAAAGGGAGAGGGGCTTCCCAAGCAAGCTCTGGAAGATATCCCTGCATCGCCTGGAAGGTAAGCCAGAGCTGCTTCACCCTCCTGCCTACCCAGGGTGGCTTCCAGAGACCTCCAGACAAACAAGGACCAGTGAGGTCTGGGTTTTAATCCCGAGCCTTAACCTCCCATCTGGCAGGCGGAATAATCCCTGCTGCTGTACTGAGCCGTAAGGTGACCACCACACTCAGCAGGGCCTCAGCAGGTGCGAGCCAGCTACATTCAGAAGGACAAACAGGAGCTCGTCCTCTTCCTTTGGGTGATGTCCCCAATATCACCTGATCTGCAGGGCCCATCGGTGTCTTGAGGGGAGGGGCTGCACCAGATGGTTAGGAACACCCACTCTGAGGGGCCCTGGCTTGATCAGATTAACATTACAGGCCAGGACATGCTCTGCGTTAGCTGTCCCATGAACACAGCTAGAGTGAGGTTGGTTAAAATGCAGAGTAGAAGCCGGGCTCGGTGGCTCAGGTTGTAATCCCGCGCCTTTGGGAGGATGAGGTGAGTGGATTGCCTGAGCCCGTGGGTTCAAGACCCGCCTGGGCAGCGAGACCTCATCTCTAC